GGGGGTGGGAATAATTCTTGCAGCAGGGACTTGTTTCCTCTTTTGAGCTACTGCATTTATAGCTGTAGGTCAAGTTTATCAAATTGTATCAGATGACGCTTTTTCCTCTTCTTTCTTCTTCTGGTTGAGCTCTGTTCATCCAGTCATTGAAGCCAGGTCAAGTGGGGTATCATCTGCAAGTGTGGGTGTTCTTGCATCTGTCCGCCCTCTTCTTATCAGCTGGCTGCTTCGCTCTCCACTCTCGTCCTCTTTGGCTTTGTCATTGACTCTGAGCCCATGAGTCCCCAGGTCTTGCCTCGCTGCTGGGCAACCAGGACCCCACCCGGGTTCACAGTAGTCTGCTGAACAATGTAGGGCTAAGCTCACCACTTCATTGATGTTTGAATTAGGACATTTCTAATTCTGAAGTCTGTAGACTTCAAAATTTTACAAGCTCCAATTCACAATTTTACAAGCTCCTCTGGAGTCCTTGTATGGCGCTGTGGGTTAATGCGTCAGAGTGCAAAGCCATTTGAACTGCAGGTTTGTCGGTTCAAGCTTACCAGCTGCTCCTCTGAAACCCTATACAAGGTTGCTATGGGTCAGAATCGACTCGATGATACTTAAAAACAACATATCTGATATTAGCATTGTTGTTGTTAAGTGCTATCGAGTCAGTTTTAACTCAGTGACCCTGTGTAGGGTTTTTGAGCCCACCATCTGCTCCCCGGAAGAAACAGGAGGCTTTCTGTTTCTACAAAGATGTACAGCCTCAAAAACCCTACACAGGGTCACTGAGTTGAAACTGACTCGATAGCACTTAACAACAATGCTAATATCAGATATGTTGTTGTTAAGTGTCGTGGAGTTGGTTCCGACTCATCGCTACCCTGTATAGGATTTCCAAGGAACTGATGGTGAGTTTGAACCACCAACATTGTGGTTCAAACCGATCTTGCAGTCCAGTGCTTTATCCCACAGTGCCACACCAAGACTCTAATATCAGATACAGTCTGTCCTAATCTCTTCACAATACATGTGTTGCCTTTAAAGATCAGCAGTGTCACACGGAGAGATACTAATAACTTTGTCCCTTCCTGCTGGCACATTTGAATGTGGGTTCTTACACAGGTTTAAACTCAGTGTGTTCCATACAAGGTTTCTTTGAGAAATGTCTGCTTCTCTTTTTAAGGAGCATGCTGAACAATTAGCACTTTTAGAAAGAGCATTTCAAATCAGGGATAATGTTCTCTCTCTTCACAGATGAGGCAGCTGGAACCCAGCCTCTATGGCCTACAGCTGCGCAAAGCAGTACACGACAACGTCGAGCGTGTCGTCCCTGCGCCATCTGAGTACATGCAAGACCAGGCAAGTACTCCTTAGCTTTAGAGACGGAGAGTCAACCACAGCCTGGGCCTTTTGAGAACAGTGAATGCCATTTGGGGGGAAGTTCTGGATGTCTGGTTTGGAAGCACTCCCCTATAATGAGGAACTTGTTAGCAATGTTCCTGTTTTATTGTGAAAACCAGTGTTGCGATCATTTATGAAGATATCGTGCTGCCGAATCCTGATTTTGACGTTTTCATCTTTCGTAGGCTTACGATGAGATAGAAATCTTTCCACTCAGTGTTTACGATGTACAGCTCACCAAGTCTGAAAGCACCTCTGACTTTGGTAAGTACTCGGAAAACCCTGTCGTCACAAGCTTGCATTGCTCAACCTGGTCCAGTTTTCCTCCAGTATCTTTGGTCCTACATTTTTTTAAATTTATGTTTACATTTTCAGATGATATGAGAATAGTTCCTAAACAGCTTTTCTCTTCTTTTTATTTCTTTCTTTCTTTTTATTTTTTATGTTTACATTCTTTTCATTTGCTTCAATAAGTAAGATGGGAGTCTTAGTGTGACACTGTGTGATAAAGCACTGGTCAGTTTAACAACAAGGTTGGCAGTTCAAACTCACCAGAAGCTCCTTGGAAACCCTATACAGCGTCACTATGAATTGGAACCAACTAGTGTAGTGGTTATGAATCGGGCTGCAAGCCACAAGGTCAGCAGTTCGAAACTACCAGCTGTTCCGCGGGAGAAAGATGAGGCTTTCTACTCCTGTAAAGATTTACACCCTCAGAAACCCTGTAAAGGGTCGCTATGGGTCGGAACCAACTCGATGGCACTTAACAACAACAACAAGGGCACCTGACAACAACAATAAGTGAAGTAAAGAGATATGAGTTAATAGTGTTATTAATTAAGTTCAGTAGGGGAGGTTATGACTCAGCGCCTCTATATAGGGTTTTGGAGGCTGTAAATCTTCGTGGAGGCAAAAAGCCTCATATTCCTCCCACTGATGGACTTGAACTGCCCAAGTTGTGGTTTACAGTCCAGTGCTTATCTTACAGAGACAGGAACAGGAATGAATATAAAAACTGATGAGAAATTTGAGATGATGGTGATAATAAGATTATAATGACAACAGTACTTACAATGAACGTAAGGAGTCCTTGGGTGGAACAGATGGTTAACCTGAAAGGTTGGTGATTTGAACCTGCCCAGAGATGCCAGGCCTGTCCTCTGAAAGAGCTCTTGAAAGCACAATGGAGCAGTTTTCATCAGCCCAGAAGGGGGCGCCATGAGCGGGAATTGACTAGACTGCAATCAGCAACAGCAATACAATGAATTGATTGTGTGAGGCGCTGTTCTAATCTGTTTAACTCGTGATTGATCGCCATACTTTGACCTACCTGAAATGCCACCCTCTACCTTGACCCCTGCAGTCATGGTGTGGCACTGGGGGTAAATGTGCCAGACTGCAAAGCAGTGTGAACTGCAAGGTCGGCGATTCAAGGTCACCAGCTGCTCCTAGGAAACCCTATACAGGGTCGCTATGAGTCGGAATCCACTCAGTGGCACTTAACAACAACAACAACCCTGACCCCTGCAGTCCTGGTATGGCACTGTGGGATAATGCGCTGGAACGCAAGGTGGGTTTGAACCACAAGGTCGGCAGTTCGAACTCACCAGCTGCTCCTTGGAAACCCTATACAGGGTCGCTATGAGTCAGAACCGATTCAGCGGTACTTAACAACAACAACAATCCCTTCTCTCTGATTATATGAGGGACCTTTAAAGAGTTCATGGAAAAAATCCATTATCTTTTCATTCCATTTTCCACAAACTTTTGGAAGCCCCCTCATGTAAGTCCTTGTCGTGGTGTAGTGTTTTAAGATAAACACTGGACTTCTAACTGTGAGGTTAGTGGTTCAAACCCCACCAGCTGCTCCTTAGAAACCCTATACCAGGTCACCATGAGTTGAAACTGCCTTGACAACACTTAACAGCAACACCTTTCAAGAGGAGTCCTGGTATGATTCTGTAGGGTAAGCACTAGACTGTTAACTGCAAGGTTGTGGTTCAAACCCACCAGCTGCTCCTTGGAAACCCTACACAGAGATGCTATGGTCAGAATCCACTTGATGGCATTACAACAACAATCTTTGAAGAATTAACTACAGATTTGTATTTCTTGTTTTGTGCTGTCGTGTCGAGTAAGTTCCAATTCATACTTCCAAGGAGTGGCTGGTGGGTTTGAACCACTGACTTTGCTGTTATCTCTTCTTTATCTTAGTTTAATAGTTAAGAGTCATCGTGATGCTGTAGGATAAGCACTGAACAGCTAACTGCACGGTTGGCAGTTCAAACCCACCAACCACTCCTCGGAAACCCCATATAGGGTTGCTCTAAGTGGGAACTCCATGTCACTTAGCAGTAAAAATGACAATCCAATTCATTAGATCAAAAGAGAACTGCCAGTATGGTGAGACCTGAGGACTCCTGGGTCCAGGGACAGGGACATGGCCATAGAGGACTAGAGTGGAGAGTGAAGCATCCAGCTAATAAGAAGTGAGGGGAGATGAGCAAGAACACCCATACTTGCAGATAGTACCCATCTGACCTGGCTTCAATGGCTAGATGATCAGAACTCGACTAGAGGAATAAAGAAGAGGAAAAAAAGAGTAACCTGATACAATTTGATGAGCTTGACCTATGCTTGAGGATGCAGTAGCTCAAAAGAGGGAACAAATCTTTACAGCGAGGATTATTTCCACCCCATCTGTACACAAGGTTGACAGGGAAGTAGAATCTCCACTGAGTGCTTTCCAGCCTGTCTAGACAGGGCTGATGAAAGGAGATGGGGTTAAGACTCTTGTGGTTCAGTAGTGAGTAATTGCTTTCAGGACTGATTGTGAGTGTTGCAAACGTAAAGGTAGATATTTTGTAGCAAAAGGAGAGGAGAGGAGGACCCTGGGACCATAAAGGGAGAAGAGCAGAGTACAGGACCCTATCCAGAGAAGCAGTGATGCCAGAGATGGATGCAGAGGCGATTACGTGGAGAGGTGGAGCAGCTGGGGACTCTGGACTCAGGGAGGGAGAGGGGATGTGTGCTTGTGGCTGCAACCAGGGGGCAGGCTTGTGGGGTAAACCCTTTGGTTTTCTGAATGATTATATATTGTATATTCCTGAATGATTCTGTGTACATTAAAAAAAAAAAAAAAAAGAATGGAAGCAAATGTTGTTGAATGAGGATGCATGAAGGGGATTGTAATCATTGCAAGGAAATGAAATACGATAGGATGAATGTAAAGCTGATGTTCTCCCATGTAAACTGTCACTCAATTCACAATGAAAACTTTTAAAAGAAAGGAAAGAAAACAGCTGGAAATTCAAACTGGAGTCAGAAGAGGATGTGAGACTAGAGATGATATTGCTGATGTCAGGTAGATCTTGACTGAAAGACAATACCAGAAAGATGTTTACTTGGACTTTATTGACTATGCAAAGACTTTTGACTGTGTCGATCTAGACAAACTATGGATATTATTGAAAAGAATGGTATTCCAGAACACTTCGTTCTGCTTATGAGAAACTTGTACATAGACCACAAGGAGGTTGTTCAAACAGAACAAGGGGGTACTGAATGATTTAAAATCAGGAAAGTTGTGTGCCAGGGTTGTATCCTATCCTTTCACCATACTTGTTCAATCTGTATGCTGAGCAAATAATCCAAGAAGTTGGATTATGTGAAGAAGTGCATGACATCAGGATCAGAGGAAGACTCATTAACAACTTGGGATATTCAGATGATAAAACTTGTTTTGCTGGAAGTGAAGAGGACTTAAAATATTTACTGATGAAGGTCAAACATGACAGCTTCCAGGGTGGATTATATCTCAATGTAAAGAAAGCAAAAATCCTCACAACTGAATCAGTAAATAACTTTGTAAAAGGAGAAACAATAGCAGTTGTCAAAGACTTCATTTTGCTTGGATCCACAATCAACACTCATGGAAGCAGCAGTCAAGAAACTAAATGTTGTATTGCATTAGGCTGGTCTGCTACCAAAGAGCTCTGTGAAATGTTCAAGAGCAAAGATGTCAGTTTGAGGACTAAGATCCAAGTTAGGGTCTTTTCAGTTGCCTCATGTGCATGAGAAAGTTGGACAGTGAATAAGGAAAATCACAGAAGAATTGATGCATTTCAGTTACAGTGTTGCAGAAGAATAGTCAGTGTATTAGGGACTGCCAGAAGAAACCAATCTGTGTTGGGAAGAAGTACAGCCAGAATGCTCCTTAGAAACCAGGATGAAGAGACTGTGTCTCGGTCATAATCTGGACATGTTATAGTAGGCACCAGTCAGTCCCTAGAGAAAGACATCATGCTAGGTAAAGTGGAAGGTCAGTGAAAAAGAGGAAGGTCCCCCAATGAGGTGGACTGATACAGTGGCAGCTGCAATGGGCTTAAACGCAACAATAATTGTGAGTGTGGCACAGGATGGGGTAGGGTTTCGTTCTGTTGTGCAGAAGGTCATGAGTTGGGACTGACTTGATGGTAGTTCATGACTTCCTAGTATCTAATTCTGGCATTGCCATATTATTTAAACTTGGCTTTGAGCTACCTAGGGTTGTGCTTGTTCCTGTTTTATTTTTATCATTAATTGTCTCAATCATCATAGGATCTCAATAACCAGAGAGTAATGGATAAACTATCTCTATTTTTGTTATTGTGAAGTGCCATTGAGTCGCTTCTGACTTAACAGGGACCTGGAGTAGGGTTTCAGAGGAGTGGCTTGTGGGTTTGAACTGCCGATCTGTGTTGGAAGAAGTACAGCCAGAGTGCTCCTTGGAAGCCAAGATGGCTGGAGTTCACCTTCATACTTCATGTTTGGCAAAGTGGAGAGTCAGAGAAAAAGAGGAAGACCCCCAGTGAGATGGATTGGCACAGTGGCAGCATCAATGGGCTCAAATGTAGCAACAGTTGTGAAGTTGGCCCAGGACCAGGCAGTGTTTCATTCTGTTGTGCGTGGGGTCGCTGTGAGTCGGTACCGACTCAATGGCACCTAACAACAACAACTTATCCTACAGCGCCACACCAGTACTCCATATAAAGACTATTTTTTATTGTGGCAAATGTGTTGATACAACGTAATTGTTTTCCTACAAAGTGACACAAGTTGATGAAAACCTAGTCATTACTTGAACTATGCTAAGGTTTCCTTTTAATTTGTTCTTTGTGTCTTGATTTGTATAAAGTGTTTGGGGAGTCCCATCAGATGTGGGCATTTTCTTTGAAACCCTCAACATTTTGATGATACTGCATTGGCTTTCACTCTACTGTTCAAGGCTGTTACTTGCCTGTCGTCTTGTCTTTGAATGAATGAATGAATGAATGAATGAATGAAGATAGTTGGCACAGATAATTTTTGGTGACCATCATCAGTCAGGCCCTCCCTGAGGAAGTATAGAAGAACATGACCTTCTTCCTAAGAACACCTTGTGTTAGGGCACAGAGTAGGGACAGGTGCTCCTACCTGTGCATGCAGAGGCAAGAACATGCTCCAGGTCAGGGAAGCCCCTTGTAGGGGAGGTAAAGTCTCACCTGGGCTTTGCATGCAGACATATTTAGGGAAAACATGGTACCCTGATAACTTTCCTATTTTCTTGTAAAGCTCCTCAAACAAAACAAAACAAAACAAAAAAAACCAAACCAAATGATTGCTGTTGGGTCGACTGTAACTCAGTGTAAACCAGTAGGACAGAGTAAAACTGCCTCACTGGGATTCCATGGCTCTTGTCATATCAGAAGCAGATTGTCACAGCTTCCCTCCTGGGACACCTGGTGGGTTTGAACCACCAACCTTTCAGGTGGCAGCCTAGCATTTAAACGCTGTATCACCAGGGCTCCCCATAGAGCTGCTAGCTTTGTGCATAGATGCTTCTCAATCAGTATTTATTGCATTGGATGGAATTTATTTCAGTAAAAGTTTCTATTGGTCTCAATTTTTTAAAGAAGGCTGTGCATTCATATGTCTCCAACCTTCAGCTCTGACATGTTCCTCTGTTTTCTGCCTCTGCTAGATATTTATACTTTCAAAATAGATAATAAGATTTTTCTCAGTGTGCCATATTCCTGCAAATAGATGCTCAAGGAAAGACCACTGCCTGTACTGGTGGTGGAATTCATGACCGTGGTAAATGGTGGCTCAGCTTTTCTGGTCGTTTCCGTTCCTAGGATTTGCAGTGACAGCCCAGGTGGATGAGCATCAGCACCTCAGCCGGATATTTATAAGTGACGTCCTTCCCGACGGCTTGGCATACGGGGAAGGTCAGTGTGTCAGCAAGAGTGCCCCATCCCTTTTCACCTCAAACTTGGGAACGCAATCTGCTAGGGACACTGTCTTCTCCATAGTTTTGCCCCAATTTCTTGTGGAATCTGGAGAGAAAAAAGAAGTAGACTTTATTGTTTAGTGTAGAATGCATTTATGTGCATACGTAGAGTGTGCGTGCTCTTGAATGTGTGTGTGTGCACAGACGGCTGTGTGTTTGGCTGACAGAGAGGGTGTATGCATATGTGCAGAGGATGTATGCATGCAAAGGGGCTTCAGAAAGTTTGCAGAAGGTAGAATTAAAAGGTAGTGGAAGATTTCCACAAACTTATGAAGCCCCTCACACTAGACTATGAACCTACCAGCTGCTCCTCGGAAACCCCTGTGAGTCCGAGTCAACTCGGTGGTACCTAGCAACAACACATATGTGTAAAGACAGCAGGATGGAGGAAGTGAATGAGAGGGACAGACATCAGACACGATAGAACAAGTGTTATTTCTTAGGGCTCATCTTCTTCTTGTGGTTAAGTGCCATCAAGTCGGGTCAGGTCTGACTCATAGCAACCCTGAAAAGGGTTTCTGAGGAATATCTGATGGGTTTGAGCCACTGATCTTGTGGTTAGCAGTCCAGTGCTGACCCTGCAGATCCACAGTAAGACTCCTAGGGTTTTTTGTTGTTGTTAAGTGTCTTAGAGTCGGTTCCAACTCACAGCGACCCTCCGTAGGATTCTTAACAGCATATAAATAGAAGAACAGTAACTTGGAGAGTCTCCTAAGTTGTTTCCAGCCTAGACTGGAGAGGGCTCATACTCCTTTACTTATCAGTAGCATCTTCTTATGAAACCCTTGGTACTTTCTTCAGAGAACAAGGTTGAACTCAGCTTGCTTTCTTTCATATTAGACTATTTTTCTGAGAAATCTCTCTTTCTTTCCTTCCTGTTGTCCTGTCCTTGGTCTCAGGACTGAGAAAGGGCAATGAAATCGTGACCCTAAATGGAGAAGCCGTGGCTGATGTTAATGTGAAGCAAATGGAGGCCCTGTTTTCTGAGAGGAGTGTGGGGCTCACGCTAGTGGCCCGGCCTCTGGACACAAGAGGAACTCTAGCTACTTCCTGGTCAGACAGTGACCTCCTCTCCACGGGCCAGAAAGATCTGCTGCCCCCTGCGAACCAATCCCAGCTTCTGGAGGAATTCCTGGATAAGTTTGAAAAGAACACAGCAAATGGTGAGGTTTTTGTTCTTTCTTCCTCCTTAACCACTGGTATCAGCAGCTAATATTTTTGGGCTGTAATTTTGCTCATTTACTTGCTTACTTGATTATTCAGTCTGTTGAAAGAATGTCTTCTCACTTATTAGGAGAAGAACACAGATGTCAACTGAGTCAATTTTTATCAGCATTCCATGCATTTTCATGATTATAGTCATTTTGTGAGAATGGAAAATTATTTTTTGCACTAAATGATATTCCTTAAAGCCACTGCATCTTTGCAAAGCACCCTCAATATTTAGTATTGTGATGGTTTTGGGTGTGAAGGTGGGTGAGAAGCCCCCATCCATGCCAGAAGTAGCAGTTTTTCTATTTAATGCCACTTGGAACGAAGGCAGAAACATTCTGCAATAAAACGTTGGGTTCTTAAAAGGGTTGATGCAAGTCCATATTCTTTCGCTCTTTTGTTAAGTACAATTTTCTCAATAAAGTGTAAACGTTTAGTGCAGGTTATGAATTTGAAAATCTTTGTAAAAACCTAAAATTGCAAAATGGCTTGCTGGTTTATGTTTTTTCAAGATAACATTTTATGTTAGGAGATCATTTGAAGATACGAATTTTGCCTTTAGGCATATTTCATAGGTTGTAGTCAACTAAATTAGAGGCTTCTGCTAAAATACTGACAACGAAAAATCTTATAGTTCTATAAGCTCCCCTCCCCACCAGCTCCCCCTGGAAGATGCTGACCAGACTCCAGAGGAGATCTAGTGTTAAGGTCTTTATCCTGAAAATACACAAAGTCATTTTTCTACGTAATGAAAACGATAAGAGATTTCCCCTAGAAAGCTCTGTGTGGTTAACAGAAATGAAGGAAATGCACAAAAGAGAAATTGTTTGGATGGATTTAATTATAAAGCAAGTTTATTAGATCATCTTTGGAATTAAAAAATCAGACTGTAAGATTTGTGATTTAATGAGGAGTCCAGTGTTTTCTTCTCCTCTCGTGGGACTTTATTCCAATTTGAAATACCATTATTTTGATGATTAGCATATGGAAGTGAGAGTCATAAAACACAAATTATGATGTAACTAATTAACACATGCATGGCTATGTGAGGGCACTCATTCGATTGCCCTATTCCAGAGAACACATGTCTGTCCCTTCATTGGATTCATTATTCCTGAGGGAGAGCTTTACTAGCTCTGTCCCATTTCTATATATTTTACCATAATACAAAATCACTACGGAGTTATCAGACTTTAGACACTAGGGGGAATGACTTCTCCTAGAAAGCAGCCAAAGGAGCAAATGTATTTAAAAAAAAAAAAATCAGCTTTTCAATACCAAGGCTCAAACCTGTCGGCTAAGCTGGTTGGCCACATGCTGGCTTGGAAAGAATTTTGTTGTTGGCCACCACTGAGTTGGCACTTGGAACAAAAGGCAGCCTGGCCCAGTGTCACCCCATCATTGCTGTGGACTGGACCATTGTGGTCAGTAGGGTTTGCATTGGGGGGCGGGGGGGGGGCGGGGAGGAGGGCGGGTCTCAGAAGTCGATTGCCCGGCCTTTCTCCCTAGTCTTTCTTAGTCTGGAAACTCCACTGATGCCTGGTCAGCAACATAGCACCACGCAAGCCACTGGCAGACATGAAGTGTATTGGACAGGAATTGAACCCGGGTCTCCCGCAGGGAAGGAACACATTCTTCCATGGAACCATCAGTGCTTGTGTGTGAAGAAGACTCAGAGCCCCGAATGTGTTCACAAGCTGCCGTAGTATTCATCCAAGGAAGCCGTTTCAGTGGTCTAGACCGCTAGACATCGCTACGTTCTGATTTCTGTGTACCCAGACTGTGCGGGTATTTTTCCACAACCAGTCTGCCTGTGGGAACAGCCTTGGGGGACCCCTGTCTTCACTTCCTTTCTGTGTAAGGGGCTTCACCACCTGCTGGGAAGAGTGTGTGCCACTTCCTGGTGTTTTGGTGACTGCTGTGGAGGAGGAGGTCTGCCCTGATGGCCCAGGTTTCACTGTGGCCACCTTCTATGTGCTTCCGGTTAACGTTCTGTAGAAGTGGTTTGTGTCAGAAATCCAACAGCTGAGACAGGCTGCTGCCTGAAATACTTTTCAAGCGTAGATCATTGAATTTACTCATTTTGCTGGGTGGGGAAAGGTGATCTGTGTAGCTTAGGAAGGAAGGTAAATGGTTATGAGTGAAGAAACACCTCAGAAAGAAGACAGGTTCTTTTTCCAGTTGGGGGTTAATATGCTCAGCTGTTAACCCAAAAGGAAGACCTGGTGGTACTGTAGGGTAAGCGCTGGATTGCTAACCACAAAGTTGACTGTTCAATCCCACCAGCTTTTCCATGAGAGTAAGATGACCCTTTTTGCTCCCATTACAAGGTATAGCTTCAGAAACTCTATACAGGGTCATTCTGAGTTGGGAGTTGAATTGACGGCAGTAGGTTTGTGTCTGTGTAACCACAAGATTGATGACAGTTTAAGGTCTTGGAGAAAAGGCCTGGGGATCTCCTTCCAAAAATCCACTATTGAAAATCCTGTTTAAATCCACTATTAAAATTCAGTTCTACCCCACCACATGGGGCCATGGAGAGTCAGAGTCACCTTGAAGGAAACTGTTGAGGTGGGAAGTGAAAAGATCAAAGATTATGGAATAAAGCATGATTCTCTCACTTGTACATAAAGTCACAGTGACAGGAAAGGGAATCTTTGTTTGGTGGAACCTCTGAGGGTTGGCTGGTTGTGTGGCCAAGGATAGACGTGGTGGTCCCAAACTCTGCGGTAGGTAGGGTAGGTCTGTTGAGACCCGCTCTTAGTTCTGTGTTCTTCGGTGACACATGTGGGACGGAGCCCTGGTTGCATCCTGCAGCCTCACTTTCATACGTTTCAAGAACGTCTTTCCCCTCTTCCTACCCTCTCACTGGGCGTCCTAGGATCACCTCTCACACACACTGCTGACCCCAAATCCTGTGTGGTGTCCTGTATTTGTTTCCTAGGGCTTCTGTAACAAAATCTCACAAACTGGATGCCTTAAAAGAACAGAAATGAATCCTCTCATTGTTCTGGAGACTGGGAGTCTAAAATCAAGGTGTTGGGAGAGCCATGATCTAACTAGGAGGAGTCTAGGAGGGTCCTCCCTGCTGATTTCAGTTTCTGGGTATTGCAAGCCTTTCTCAGTTTGCAGATGCATCACTTCAATCTCTGCCTGCATCTTCCCATGGCCTTTTCCTCAGAGTCTGTGTCCCTCCTCCTCTCATAAGAGCACCCGCCATATTGGATTTGGGCCACCCCACGCTTTGTGACCTCATCTAAATTTAGCTGATTACATCTGCAAAGACCTTTTTTTTTTTTTTTTTTTTTTTTATAAAATGACATTCTCAAAGATGGCTAGGACTGGAACTTATCTTTTTGGGCAATAGCTACAGAACCCAAATCAGGACACCAGCCTTAGTCTTGTTCCAGAAAACGAACCCTCTGTCCTCTTCCCTGGTGGATCAAGGAGACTGAGGAACTAATATCTGAGGTGTATCCAGCCCAGCTTCTTACGTCATCACTACTGTTAGGTGCCATCGAGTTGGTTTCTACTCAGAGCGACCCCGTGTACAACAGAACAACTCACTGCCTGGTGCTACACCGTCCTCACGATTGTTGTCGTGCTTTGAGCCCATTGCTGCTGCGACTGTTCCAGTCCATCTTACTTATGTTGTTGTTAAGTGCTGTCGAGTCAGTTCTGACTCACAGTGACCCTGTGTAGGATTTCTAAGGCTGTAAATCTTTACGGAAGCAGAAAACCTCTTTCTCCTGAGGAACGTGTGATGGGCTTGAATTGCTGACCTTATGGTTAGAACATTGGTGGGCTCCTTCATCTTGCATAGTGGACACTCTGAACACATCATTTTCCTTGTCTTCCCTCTCGTTGGCAGTTTCAGGTTTTAACTGAAAAATTGCTTTGGTTAGCTCTCAGAATGAAGCAGAGATCAGCAATCCAGTTTGTTACTAACAAAGTGAACTGCATGAATACAAGAATTTCAGTAACTCTGAAAAACTGCTTTCAGGATTTTGAGCGATACTTTGCAGTTCTTATTTCTGTCTTCTCCTTCCTGAATTTCACGGTCCTTCGGCACTACCAGAAGACAACCTGGTTCCTGTTTTATTGTTCAGAAAAGCCAAAGCCACTGCCTATTAATAAAATCGAAAACAGCTGGCTCTCTAGAAGAGAAAGACCAATTTTAATAGAAATAGCAACTGATAGAGGAAGAAGAAAGCTGCCATTGCTTGTTTGCAGGCGTATCTTGACCATGATGGTCAGTATTTAGTAACCCCTTCCCAGGTGCTGTTGAGTACATTCTTCACGTGTGTCAGAGTAGAACTGTACTGCCTTTTGGGAAGTAGACCACCAGCTCTTTATTCGGAGGAGTATCTGGGTGGACGACTTAAAGTTCCGACCTTTGGTTAGCAGCTAAGTGTGCTAATGGTGTGCATCACCTAGGGACTCTAAAATGTCCTGTTTCTTGAGAACAGACTGTACATATAGCTTAGGTGTTTCATTTTATTTCAGTCTAATCTCTCAATCAAGGAGCTCTGGTAGTGTAGTGGTTACGAGTCAGGCTGCTAACCTCAGGGTCAGCAGTTCGAAACTACCAGCTACTCTATGGGAGAAAGGTAAGGCTTTCTGCTCCCATAAATATTTACAGCCTTGGAAACCCTGTACAGGGTTGTTGTGAGTCGGAACCGACTCCATGGCACATAACCTCCACCACCTCCAATCTCTCAGTGAAGTTCAAGTAGTGAAGGCATGTCTACTTCAGGTAAGGTGATTTGAAGGGCGAAGGTGGGCTTTTCAGCGTGTCTCAGTTGTTCCGGAACGTGGCTGGCTCTCATTCGTCATCTTGTGTGACAGCTCCCACCTGGCTCCTCACCTCTGACTCACTCACCTTGGCCATACTCTGAGAGCTTTGGGCCTGAGGAAGCAGGGATCCTGGTGGGCTCCTGTGCGGTTCTAC